TAGGCAAAACACTTCCTGAATAGTTCAACTTGTTTCAGAACGGGGTGGGGGTTTTAATAAAGGGGACATGATTTTCGCTAATAGCTTCGCAAATGTTTAAGGATGAACATTCATATTTTATGGATTTGCTTAATTGTTTTTGGATTGAAAAGTTATGATTAGTAATTGGTAAAAATCTGGTGTTCTTGCAGAATTCCATGTTTAGAACGCTAGCTGTCACGTATATTTCGAAATCGGGTATTATGCAAGAAATGTATCTGTATGGAATATAGAACTTTGAGCAATCCAAACGCAATTGTTTCTACTTTATAGCACAATGAATATAAACTAATACCTATAGTTTGGTTAGCAATTATTACATTCTTAATATTTTGTTTATATGTATCGAGGTACCGGATATATTTGTGAGTGCAAATCATATAACTAATATATTTCATATCAGTAACACTAAAGCAGACAAACGCGTTAAAATATTTTAGTTTTGGTTCAAATTCAATCCCTTGTGTTCAAACACAAGATCAAATAATCAAAGCATTCACCTCAACGCAAACTGTCGATTCATTGAAACACAAACAGTTGTGACAGAGGTTAGAAGATCAGATAGAATAAGCGAAGCTTAGAGTTTACGCATTGTGTTCAATTTTCAAAGAAATGCATGACTTAGCAAAACACACCAACTTATCGAAACATGTTTGTAAACTCTGAGTAATCCAATCGGCTATGTTTTTTCACCAAAGAGTAGTATAATTGATCTTTTACGAAAGAGAGGTAAAAGTATCATCCTACAGCCTAAATCCTTTTTCTTAGCCTTGGGGAAACCTAACTTAATCCGGGTAATAAAAATGTACCGGTAATTTTTAAAAAAATATACTCCGATTTTTGTCACCTAAGGCGCGCCCAGGTAACGCAAAGCCTCGCTCTATCATTGTTAGTTTTAAGACAGTCGGCGTTTCCCTTTGATGTGTTCTCCTACCGCTCCGTTGTGAAATCATTCTGCCTGGCTGAGTTCCCCCCTTCCCACGGTAGGACGAATCGGTCCTTAACGAAGTGAGGAAAGGGGGGTTAAATTTGCCGGAAAAAATACCCAGTCTGTTTCATTGTCACCCGATCGTTGATTCCCTTGATGCCGGATTAGGTGGCCACTGTTTTATCTTACGGCGGTTGTGTTGTAAGGGTAGATGCACACGACTCGTACTATTAAAGCAACTAGCTGCTGTGGAGATTCATTGACGATGAGTTCACGGTTGCTACAGGACGTCGATCGTTTCTTCTCGCGCGTTATCCTCTCAGCGGGGGCCCATTGCAAGTATGATGTTTGTTTACAGTACTTATATGATATACCTCATCAGTGTTATATATGCCATGTTTACATACTCCCGACGAAAGGAGTTCTGTGAAACGCGAAACGTTAAGATATTCTTAACCTCGCGTGCACATGTGTAATAAATTAAAAGAGAGATTTTGTTTTGAAAGAGGAGATCCCCCGCGAACAAGCGTTTAAAACATCCAGTAGCATGTTTGTCGTATCTTTTCACAACATTTTGCCGATTTTTCTCACAATCAAATGATATCATTTTTCGGAGGTGGTTTTAAATTCTGTATTGTCACATTGAAGATGTTTAAATGCAGGTTTGCAGTCTTTTCAAATTGCTAATCCGTTTGTGACTAGGAATATACTCTGACAAGCTGATGACATAGTTTATCAGTAAATAGCCGCGATATGCATCTCGAGAGCAGACATTTTACCTACCCTTCGATCTCAATTACTTTGTAGAAACCTGTCCGATGACACAAAAATGTAATGTATATTCCGCAAAGTCATTGTGAATTGCGCCTTAGACGGAAATCCAACACACCTTTATTAAATTAGATGTAAGATTAAATTCCTCCTTCTGGATTATGTTGATTGTGTTGTAGGATTATGTATTCAAATATAGACTTACCTGATTCTTTCTGTGATATTCATAGTTGTCACAATAAGATATATCGTCTCGACTCCCTGCTCTCAAAGATCATACAAATAGAGACGCTCCCATATGTAAATGAAATTGTAAGTTTTTGATTTTAACGAACACAATTCAGACAAGACAGAGTAGAGCATGTGATAGCTTTGGAATCTTGCGATCGTTGAGATTATGTTATACTAATTCATAATTATATTTTGTCATTTCATTAATAATCCTTATTGTATCATTTCCTTATTAAAGAATTTTGTATTTATTTTTGCAATATCAAACTTGTTTATGATATCAAATTATTAGTTTAAAAAAATAAATTCTTAGATATGACACACACTATTTATGTATATGTTTGTATTTTTAATGAAATCAGTGATATGCAATGAAACCATTTTCGATAAGTAAATGAAATAAATAATTAAATGAATAAATAATTGAATTGTCAGATTTTATGATAACATTTAATTACAATATGAAAGGCTAAATTTCATTTTTAAAGCAACACGTTGTGAGATTTCTAACTTGGAATTATATGCATGTAACATGTCGTCTACATCATCTTCCCATGTCTGATAATGTTCTAACAAAGTATTCTAGTTTTCTTTACAATGACACTACTATATTTACTTTAATTTTTGCAATTACTAATTAAGAATAACAATCGTGTTATTACTCTTGTTCGCAAATATAATCACAAAGTTAGTTTCTTTCATTCCACACAGTGCAAATCCTTCCATAAATACTGTAATATGATTGATGGTCCGACGTATAAAAACGGCGTTGGAATAGAAATGAGTTGGTCAAATATTTGTCTCCAGGAAAAGAAAAGCCACGCGGCACGGCCATTATCGCGTTAACGGGGGTGTCGATTGTCGCTTTGAGTTGCCAGACCAATCATAGGAGTGGTCACCGCTTACATTTTATCAAGGAATAATTGCAATTATTATTGACTGTTCTGATAACAGTAAATTGTGGTCAATTGGAATTGCTCACAATTGATTCATGGTCAAACAATGTAAACTCATCAAACAGGGGAACTTGATAAATAGTGTTATTTGCAAACTGAAGCATTGTGCCGGAGTGGCATATTGTGCAGTGTGCGATTTCTAGAAAATACAGCAAATTAATTCATTATATCACGGAACATTAATGTCAAATAAAGAGGATCAAATAAGCAGAGATCTTAATTAAAACTACCAATGTGTTGTACAATGTGATCGAGAAAACTGAAAACATATTTCATAATAATTAGTAACAATTAAGGGCCATTTATGATTAGATTTAGATTAGAGGGGAAAATATAGGAAAGGTTTGATAAGCATTTCTATAACTCTGACAAGTACGTCTATTTGAAATAGGTGATGTAATGTGCACGGTGTAGAGTGTAGGGTTATTGTGTAATAAGGAAATATTTAAAAAATGAAACAAATACATTTTTCAATTGTACATACTCCAATAAATGCACATGATAAACTGTTACCTAGTTAGATAACAACAAAAAACACGATCAGTATATCTGAAATGTATATATCGGAATGATGCATTAAATCAAATTTCATATTGAATTTACGAAAATCATCAAAGCTCAAATATTTCAACAGGTTCACAGGGGGCATAGTTATTGTCTCAAATGGGTGGTGCTTGTGCTTTAGTAAGTTGCTGTATAGATACAATTTGATCAATGGATCGATGACAGCATGCTGAGAAGCACTGTCACACTGTTCAAAGGCTCGATTTGTTTACGCAAATATATACTCAAACCAACAGCTGTTCTATTTCCTAAATCGTTGTGCATTATGCCAAACCAGAGAAACGGTATGTAAACTTCTAAACCATTTAAACTTTTGAAACAACATGCTTCCGGGAGATTTCGTTTTTTCTTATATTTCATGATATATTTGGTCCGGGCTTTGTGTCCAATGTGCACCTCAAGTGACGTATTGATGTTTTCTTTGAATGCTGCCACGACATATGTTTAAGGTGAAAAAGTACAATCAATAACCACAGCTCATTGATTCTCAATGGATGTTGTATATAGAAATATTCCACGCGATGTAAACTAGATCCTAATTCATCACGGGTGAGCTTCAGAATCACTCCCGATTCTTTCATTCACACCATTCACGGTTAAGCAATAAAATGGATAAACAGAACTCAAATATAAAACTCTTTTTGAAAAGGCCAAACAATGTGGACTGATACAAAATATTTCTTATATTCTAACTTTCTACTTAGGTCTCCCGTGATACTGACCTGTCACCTGTGTCCATTCGTATTCACTATGGCGAGAGATGTCTCTTTATGATTCACTATACCACGACTAACCCGTGTTTCTCGGGGTTGAACGATGAATCTTAATAGCGAGTTATTTAGCTCAGGAGGCAGGGCTACCCGACTGACCCTCGTGTTTCTATGCACACCCGACCGACACTAATCTCCCCCATCTGTGAAATTTTGCCATCTGGCCTCGTATATTATAAAGATTTGGATAATACCCCACAATCCCCGTCTAAAGCTGGAGACAGGAAGGAGAGGGTAGAGGCTGGTTATAGAGATGTCCCGTCCACGATGACAGATCTGTCTTGACACTGAGGTACCTGGCTATAAGTTGGGGCTTTCCCACAGATATACTGTGACGACGATAATCTAGCGGTACTCGTCGTCGTCGATCTGATGATGATGGCTTATCACTTTACTTATGTTACTGTAGTGTGTTGGGATGTTGTTCTGAGGATGGGCTTTGGGATGGGTAGCTCATCTCACAGTTGTCCTGAGAGCTCTAGGGAGACGGTCACAGAATAGTGTCGGGCTGGTAGAGTTGATTTTTAAGATGTATTTTTGCATGTATGATTTATGTATGTTGTATCTCGAGATGATTAATATTCCAATGTATGCCTTTGTGCCGATACAAAACATCAACTTACTTTGATAATACGCTGTCATTACTGTATTATAATTACGTAAGAATGTATTATTTTTAATTTCGAATATTTATTTGATGTATTTCTGAAATTTACTTAAATATTTTTACTTTTGTTTTAGGATCCTCAGCCATTTGGCGGAACACCACTTGCAATGTTAGCAGCCCAGTGTAGCAAAATCACAAACAAGAGCCCCCCACCATTAGCAGAAGCGACAGTCGGCAAGAGTTTTGTCCCTTGGAAGAAGGGCGTTGCTACTAGCGATAACCGCAACCCGCTACATCTTACATCTCAGAGAGTCCCTACTCTCAACCCCTCGTTGTCGATGACCAGCAGTGGACTTACCTACCCTCGGTCAACAATCAACTCGTCTTGTTCCGGAAGCTACGGCAGCGACATGCTGTACCCAACAACAACGTCTGCGTCTCAGAGCGACATCTCCCAGGCAGCATTCCTCCAGAAGATGCACGGAGATAGCGGTATAGGAAATTCGGGCTTCGGTGGAATGTACTCAAGGGTTCCCTCAGTCACGGGCCACCATTACGAAGCGTGGCCCTTTGCAGCAGGCATGACGTCATCACACCCCCCAGCTACGCATACGTTGAAGACCGAGATGACGACAACGGTAAACGGCGGATCGCCGTGGTGGGAGATGCATTCGGCGAACATGCACTCCAACCCTTCCAACTGGCTGTCGGATATCCCCAGTTCCGCTTCTGGACCCCATTCTCAGATATCCAGTGGATATCCATCCTCGGAATACCCCTTGGGGTATAGCCTACCATCCGCCCCTAGTTCTCTTCTCTCCTCGGGCCAACATTTGTTACAGGACACTTACAAATCTATGCTCCCCGCCCAAGGGGAACTGGGAGCGTCCAGTGTGACCCCCTTCCTCACCCGACCCGGCTTGTCCGGGATCCCCAGTCCACGCAGTCAGAGACGGTACACCGGCAGGGCGACGTGCGACTGCCCCAATTGCCAGGAAGCAGATAGACTCGGACCCGCCGGGGAACATCTCCGGAAACGGAACATTCATAGCTGCCATATTCCTGGCTGTGGTAAGGTGTATAACAAAACCTCACATCTTAAAGCTCATCTACGTTGGCATACTGGCGAGAGACCGTTTGTGTGTAACTGGTTGTTTTGTGGGAAAAGATTCACGAGGTCAGATGAGCTTCAGCGGCATTTGAGAACGCATACCGGAGAGAAGAGATTCGCGTGCCCCGTGTGCAATAAAAGGTTCATGCGCAGTGATCATCTGAGCAAGCATGTGAAGACACATAGTCAAACAGGAGATAAGAAAGGAAGCGGAAGTGACACGGAGAACAGTCAGGAAGCTGTTAATGTCAACACATCTCCTGCTAACACTGCCACACAGATCTCACAAGTACCCATAAAGGAAGAACAGGCAATGAGATAGAGTAATCTCCCTTTGTGTCCTTGGACACGGCACATAAGACTTTGACTGTCAAATCAATGAGACAGTGATGGTGTAATATTCACTCTTTGTGACGAGCGTGCTCTGTGACAATCCCTTGACACAAATATTCTATAACTCCGTATGACGTCACTATGACGTAGTCGTGACGTCACTTCCAGTGATAACCATTTTATTCACATTTTAGAGTGGCCTGTTTCATGTTATTGTAGAGAAACTGTCAGATTCTCACGTATCAGTTCAAGAGACAGTTTAATTTGTCATCAATACATTTGTCAATTTGAAAAATGTTCTTGCTACAGCTTGAGACGTTTAAAGACACAAGTCACACATTCAGACTAACAGGGAATGCATATTCCTTTGATCTTATTCACACAACGATATTTTATATTATTTATAAATGTATTGTCTGTGGCAGGAGGATATGTGTAGTACTTTGTATTGATAATCTGTAGCAACGAAAAGTTGAATTTAATTTTACATCCCATAGGTAAAATATATTTCAGTCGCTCATATCTGTATGTTTGCATCAGCAGTTTTAGTCTGAATTTATCGAATGGACAGTAACTGTGATGCGAATGCCTTATTTCCATATGATTCAAAGCATTTGAAATTAATGCAGACTAAAAGAAAAGGAATATTTGACACCTGAATTCTTGTGTTAAAGGAGTTCACTATAGGTCTTGGTTGAATTTATATTGTTACTAGTCGAGAAATATTCTTTCATATTTTCACAAACGCTATTGACATTGTTATCGGAATTCATTGGACATGATTTTCATTGGACATGATTTACACTGTTCATAAACGTTCCTGCAAGTAAGAGTATATCGAAGCGGGTAAATGCACGCTAACTTGAAACAATATGTACCGTAATTTGTCTTTTTATTACAACGTAACAATGGACAGTGTGCAAATGTTATTGGATTTGTATCCTTAAAAGATCATTTGTTTTTAAAAATATGTTTTAGTGTTTTTCAATTTTAACTTTAAACGAACCGAAACCGTTTTATAATCAAAACTCTTTAATTGTTAACTAATATGTTTCATTCTGATTTCTCCAATAGATAAATTCAAACCTAGATATATCTGACATGATCGTACTCAGTGTATCAAGAAGCTACATTCAGCTATTCATAATGTTAAATCACTACATGAAACGTATCTGCGTATACGTTTTTCAGATACTACAGCACAACTCATCCAATTCGTAGTTCTTTAAAATTCAAGAGTTTTGGAACATATTATGGATGCAAGACGCTTTCTTCCTGCTGGAAATGCTTGATCAAAATAATATCACGTTTTATTGGAGTTAGGATTTACATACAAGAACTACTCTTCATGAGTATTGAACCATTGGAGATTTACAACAGAAGAAAAGTATGCATTTTATACGTGTCCGGTTGTGAGTTTTTGATGGGTGTGAATCTGTCTGTCTGAAGTAGATAAATGTTGACAGCATGGTTTGTTTAGAATTATGCTGCTGTACGCAGTACATGTTCCTAGTGAATATGTCTGTAATATTTGGAGGGTATGTTTCTTCCTTGATGTAAATAGTTAATTATTATTGTACAGAGTGCTAGGTAAAATGTTCAAAGCTGTAATAAATCTATTTGATACAAACCCGTCTTCGTGGTTTCATACAGAGTTCTTACGTTGACTATGACGTGAATTTGGACACGTTACGATGACGTGAATTTGGACACGTTACGATGACGTGAATTAAGACACGTTACGATGATGTCAATTAGCGTCGCTAGCAGCCTGAGTGAAAGATAAGCGCATGGTTGGAAAGTAATCACATTGTTTTAATGACATATCAGATAAGCCGACAGTTCTTGTAGCATGTGTTCATGGTAACAATTTGTTATTATTATTTATATAATCTAGGAATTATATTTTAAACTGATACTCGTTTCTTGAGATAATTGTTCAAGTCAACGTCGCGATTAACACCGTAATTGTTCGGATAGCCTTCCTATAACTGACACAGATAAATGTATTTTGTACTCCTTGGCCAAATGTAGAGATAGCATCAAAACCTGGTAATATGATACATCCGGCCTTATCACCCACACTGCATAGTTTGACCATGTTGAACACCAGTGCTTGTCACTGTCCATTATATCATGTGGTTAATACTCATGCAGTTGGTCTATGAACATGTGGACACTGCTTCAACATTGGGGTAAACCTTGATTGTTTTAGTAACCTGATACTTCCATATGAATAAGGATGGAAGATATCATACTAATTACTTAATAGCACTTTTACTGCTGCTGAGAAACCTAAAAGACAGACTTTTCTAGCATTTGGCCTAGGACTAAAAAGGTTAAACTTACTACGTGACAAAGAATCTATGAGAAAACAATATGCTGGAAAATGTAACAGATGGCTGTTTAAAATTTAATAGTTATATTCTCTCTTTCAAAAGATACCTCACGTTCAGATTTAAAATGACAAATCAACGAAACGTATCCTTTTCAATATGAATAAACACATGCATATGTGCAAATTATATAATAAATCATGAACTTAAAATACAATATCAAGAAGTTGAAATGTTGACGGCTTATCCACATTCAGCCATGTGCAACACGCTATCAATCGTGTTAACAAATGGCTGAATAACTTTATGATCCAATGAAATCGTGTTTATTGCTCCACCGAACAAAAAACTTTTGTTGATATAAACTTATTAAAAGTAGATCGAAACATATTCATGAGAAGTTCTTTTGTGACGCAAAAGTGACTAAAGCATGGCGATGCTTTCCGAGCAATTAGTTTGTGTTTGGTTGAACATGAAAAGGTTTTGCATTTTAATGTTATTACGAGGCTGTTGCACATTTTTGTATGGAGGTTCAGCACGTCAACATTTAGATAAACATTGTTCTGTGTCTAAGGCCACAGTACGGCAACATTTAGATAAACATTGTTCTGTGTCTGAGGCCAAAGCGCGGCAACATTCAGATATATAGTGTTCTGTGTTTAAGGCCACAACACGGCAAAAGTCAGATATATAGTGTTCTGTGTTTAAGGACACAGCACGGAAACATTTAGATAAACATTTTTTCTGTGTTTAAGGCTACAGCACGGAAACATTTAGATAAACATTGTTCTGTGCCTGAGGCCATAGCGCGGCAACATTCAGATATATAGTGTTCTGTGTTTAAGGAAACAGCATGGCAACATTTAGATCAACATTGTTCTGTGTCTTAGGCCACAACACGGCAACATTCAGATATATAGTGTTCTGTGTGTAAGGACACAGCACGGAAACATTTAGATAAACATTGTTCTGTGTTTAAGGCCACAACACGGCAACATTTAGATAAACATTGTTCTGTGTTTAAGGCCACAGCACGGAAACATTTAGATAAACATTGTTCTGTGTGTAAGGCCACAACACGGAAACATTTAGATAAACATTGTTCTGGGTCTAAGGCCATAGCACGGCAACATTCAGATAAACATTGTTCTGTGTCTAAGGCCACAGCGCAGAAACATTCAGACAAATGTGCTTTGTGTTTAAGGACATAGCACGGCACCATTTAGATAAACAGTGCTGTGTCTAAGGCCACAGCGAGGCAACATTTAGATAAACATTGTTCTGTGTTTTTAGATAAACATTGTTCTGTGTTTAAGGCCACAGCACGGAAACATTTAGATAAACATTGTTCTGTGTTTAAGGCCACAACACGGCAACATTTAGATAAACATTTTTTCTGTGTTTAAGGCTACAGCACGGAAACATTTAGATAAACATTGTTCTGTGCCTGAGGCCATAGCGCGGCAACATTCAGATATATAGTGTTCTGTGTTTAAGGAAACAGCATGGCAACATTTAGATCAACATTGTTCTGTGTCTTAGGCCACAACACGGCAACATTCAGATATATAGTGTTCTGTGTGTAAGGACACAACACGGAAACATTTAGATAAACATTGTTCTGTGTGTAAGGCCACAACACGGCAACATTTAGATAAACATTGTTCTGTGTTTAAGGCCACAGCACGGAAACATTTAGATAAACATTGTTCTGTGTGTAAGGCCACAACACAGAAACATTTAGATAAACATTGTTCTGGGTCTAAGGCCATAGCACGGCAACATTCAGATAAACATTGTTCTGTGTCTAAGGCCACAGCGCAGAAACATTCAGACAAATGTGCTTTGTGTTTAAGGACATAGCACGGCACCATTTAGATAAACAGTGCTGTGTCTAAGGCCACAGCGAGGCAACATTTAGATAAACATTGTTCTGTGTTTAAGGCCACAGCACGGAAACATTTAGATAAACATTGTTCTGTGTTTAAGGCCACAACACGGCAACGTTTAGATAAACATTGTTCTGTGTCTAAGGCCATAGCACGGCAAAAGTCAGATATATATTGTTCTGTGTCTAAGGCCACAACACGTCAACATTTAGATAAACATTGTTCTGTGTCTAATGCCACAACACGTCAACATTTAGATAAACATTGTTCTGTGTCTAAGGCCAAAGCGCGGCAACATTTAGATATATAGTGTTCTGTGTGTAAGGACACAGCGCGGCAACATTCAGATATATAATGTTCTGTGTCTATGGCCAAAGCGCGGCAACATTTAGATATATAGTGTTCTGTGTGTAAGGACACAGCACGGCACCATTCAGATAAACATTGTTCTGTGTTTAAAGCCACTGCACGGAAACATTCAGATAAACAGAGCTCTGTGTCTTAGGCCACAGCGCGGCAACATTCAGATATATAGTGTTCTGTGTCTAAGGCTACAGCGCGGCAACATTCAGATAAATAGTGTTCTGTGTCTTAGGCCATAGAACGGCAACATTCAGATAAATGGTGCTCTGTGTCCAAGGCCACAGCCCGGCACCAGTCAGATATATAGTGCTCTGTGTGTAAGGCCACAGCACAGAAACAATCGGACCACACAATCCAGTGATCAACAGTGTGAGCATTGATGTACGCAATTGGGATACGATGACATGTGTCAACCAAATCAGCGAGCCTGACCTCCCGATCCCTTTAGTCGCCTCTTACGACAAGCATGGGTTACTGAAGATCAATTCTTACCCGGATCTTCACGGGTCATTTATACTTTTTGAAGCTAATTTTGATAACTTATGTTAATAACATCTCAACACAAATACAACTGTTATTCCATACTAGCGTATTTACATAATCGACATTTTCCGTGTTCACACATTTTCACACTTAGCAATTCTCCAGCTACAGGACAGCGGCTTGTAAATAAATAGTCTTTACTAGACAATCAGGTGATTGACATCATGAGCATCGATCTACGCAGCTAGGGTACGATGACATGTGTCAACCAAGTCAGCGAGCCTGACCACCCGATCCCGTGAGTCGCCTCTTACGCCAAGCATAGTTTGCTGAAGATAATTTCTAACCCGGACCTTCACGGGTACTAAGATTAACAGGGTCCAAGAATAGGATAAGCGCGTGTACAGAGGGGTAGATCTGCTGATATATTCGACATCACAACCAAGTCAACAGCAGGAGAAGCGATGTCATCACACGGGAGAATACATTCTCTGTCATCAACACTCCATTCTCGTATTCGCCGCCATAACCTTGTTCAGGAAATGACGTCAACATCTCCACATCTCTCATCTGAAATCTCGCTCTTTATTTCTCTTGCTCGTGGAAAGTAATGGATACAATGGCTAAATGGATAAATAGCTAAATGGATAAATACCCTGGATGTTCAAGGATAGCTCTTCGCATCCTGAAAAACCTAATATATTTTTGTGTGTTCGTTGCCTACCGCCGCGCTCAGCAATATTCCAGCTACATGACAGCGGTCTGTAAATAATCGAGTCTGGACCAGACAATCCAGTGATCAACATCATGAGCATCGATCTTTTCGTAGACACTTTTACAACGACACAGCTGTATGTGACGATAAAGTATACAGCGAGATATGTCATTTGGATATGCAGAAAAGGTACCATCCTTAATTCAAATTCTTTAGTGAGCATCTTGAGTAATCATTGATTTCAAGTGATCCACTCATACCATTTACTTCACAGTTTTACCGTTCACTGTTATTTCGTCGGATAATCGAGACTGGCATCTCTCTGGCATTGGCGATATATGTCTTTAGTACTTAAAAAAAGGGTATATTTCAATTCGCTATTTACAGGTGCATGGCAATATTTTCAAAGGATGAATACTGAAATAAGCAAAATACCTCACGATTACCTAACAATTGCACACGATAAAATCGACTGGAGTGAACAGGGCTACACAGCATACCTATCAACTCAAAAACAAATATACAAGGGGTTGATAAGTTGTATTGTTATGTATGACTGACGAGAGATCTGTCGCTCACAGTTGTCAATAGCCAGCTAGGAAATAGGAAACTGGTTCAATACTAACACCTGAGGTGTGAGGCGACGGTCACGTGACAGCTGCCATCGTTTTCAGGTGAACTGGTACACGAAGTATTGAACAGCTTCTTCACAAATTTGTAATTGCAAAATCGAAACGACTTCTGATTTTGGGATAATGCCAACTCCATTTTATCACCGACTCACTGGCGACAGTGTTTTAGTACACAGAATATTTATTTTCGTATTAGTATTTATAAAACGCTT